CCTTGCAGGGTCGACTCTAGAGGATCCCACTTTTATGTTACGTGTACTTGCCGTTTAGTCGCCAGCTCGAGTGGTGAACAAATAGCCGAGCCCTCTAGCTCTCTGAGGTTAAATGCCAGCACAATGCTCTAGCTCTCTGAGGATAAATGCCAGCCCTCTAGCTCTCTGAGGTTAGATGCCAGCACAATGCTCTAGTTCTCTGAGAATAAATGCCAGCACAATGCTGTCTCTAGCTCTCTGAGGATAAATGCCAGCACATAACCGCTTTCAAAGCATTCCTTCAATCTTTTAAGCTCGCACACTTGTGGTGTTGCAGCTTGGGGGGGTTGTAGTCAGGAAGTCCCTGATAGGGTTTATTTAGGATCAGGGGTTATTTGATATTTGGGTTTTATTAGAGATTGCATTTTGAACTGGGTTTATCCAATCAGGTTAAAACTGATTAACGGAAAACACATGACCAAAATGATAGTCACAGGATTTAGTTCAATAAATGAACAACGTCTCCCCTTGTACGAGGGGAGTACGTTGAGATCCAGTTATCCTCGACTATTTACTACACCATTCAGTGTCTATTTTGGTCGCCGCCATGTTCCGTTCGCAAACTTGACTGATGACTTTCCTGGTCATATTTCCACGACGAATGATGCATGGCTGAATCAGTTGGATGAGCTGGAAAAGACTATACTGCCAAAACTTCATCAGAAGACGATCAAGTATACTGGTGCCATGGTGGAGGCTACTGATCAGATGCGTAAGTTTAATTTGCTTGAATTTAAGACGGAAGTCGTCGTCATGATACTCGCAGAGACTTCTTCTCAGGTTCTTACGTTTATAGGACAAGTGCCACCGGCTAGCCAAGAGCTGAAGTCCGAGACTGAGGGTACGTAACAGCGAATGTGATATAATTATTTCCAGAAAATATATCTCAGAGTACTAAAGTGTTCTGCATAAGACTGATCACATGAAATTTTACCCTGGCCACCCCAAGTGGTTGAACACTAGTACAAACACCATCAGTATATACCTGAGGGTGAGATCATAAATAAATTCACTCGAACGCATTATTCTTTAGTAAAATTTGCACTTCACTTATAGTTTCCCACATCACACTCTAACATCAGGAGCGTCGTCATGGAAGAGCTGTCAGAGTCGTATCGAAGATCCGGCATATCGACATTGTCTGACTCAATGTCAAAATCGACAGGGTCGGTATCATTATTTGTTGTTTGAGTGCGTGTTTGATTGTGGGGTCCGATTGGCAAGTTGTTGAAGGTGTGTATAGGTAGTACTGTACCATCCCTTGGACCGTGGAATGGGTAGTGATTTTTGAATGCAACAAACTCGTTTGTTGATAGGGAATTCGAGACGGTATTCATTGTCATGGGGTATTTCGTGAAAAGATTTGCTGCTTTAACGAGGGGCTGATATAAATGAGTCCTAGATCAGGCAGAATATAAATTAATGAGAGAGGGGAATTACCGCGTTCAACGCCGCGAAGTAAATGTCGTCTGATGCGTGTAACGAATAATAACGATTGCACCACCGTCGATAAGTAGTGGATCGTGGGTATGGATTGATATGGAAGAAGTAGGACGAAGTAGTGCTTAAATAACTGGGGAAACAGAAGATACAACTTAAGGTGCCGGCGTCACAATTGGTTATGGATTGCGATGGGACTTGTTGCCGCAACGACCACATCCTGAAGGACAATCACTGACGAAATGACTCGTTTTCCAGCATACAAAGCAAAGTGGTGGATCTAGCTGAGTACCGAAACGATCATGAGGTTGTCCTTTGGTATTACGACCGACAATACGCTCAAGGGTATCTAGGCGCTTGAGTAGATCAGAATATGGTGGCTGAGATTGATTGGTGCGGCCAGAGCGATGAACACAAGAGACAGATGCAGTGTTGGTCACATTATAGTCGGTTTGCTGCCAAGTTTCTATCCATTCACAGATATGGAGAGGTGAAATGTTGGTGCGATCGTTAGTGAGAAGAAACTATCGAGCTTGGTTCTGTGCGGCCAGGTCGAGGCCGGGGAGAAAGGCATCCTAGATAAAGGCAGGTGATAGAACATTTGGCTGGCCGCGGTGCGTTTTGTGAGCTTGAGACATCGATGTGCCCAAAAACACACACTGTTCTCGTCATCAGCAATCCTCGAAGTTTATGGTGTAAACTTCGATGAATATTACTAAGCTTCAAACTGTTAAATCAACTAAGATACAATTTAAGTCAGTTGGGATTTAGCGGTGGTAGCTTGTGCAAGAATGATCGGGACTGCCTCTTGGTGTTTGAAGGTGATCATTAAATTACCGTCCACTACTATCCCTCCAATATCAATACTTTCCAAACCACAAAGGGACACCCGAGGTCGCTGTGAACGCGAACGTGAACCTCCGGGAATCCGTAGTGATCGTGGTATATTTTGCCGACGATGTTCTTCGGCTTTGTCAATGCTCACACGGAATACTTCACGCGTCTCCTCAGCCGAGTAGTCTCGCCAATGCGGATGCACATGAAGGCTATCGCTGTAGTACGCTGTCCCCGCAGCTTGCCATATAAGCGTGAGCACACCATGATTGCGGTAGACCTGTAGCGGGTTCTCGTACTGATGTATCTCCATGAAATTCTACTTTGTGTTTGAAATCACGAATCTGTGTGTCGAGCGGTACCGAAGGCTTCAGCTTCAGGTTTGCTAGTACCTGGCTATATGCGTTGCCATCTAAATCTTGCTTTTGCTTGCGTACAACAAATGCAGTGGCTTCTTCAAACGACATAGACTGTAATTTCTATACATTTTGAACGATAGAGTTCATTAGCGCCCTAAGAGGCCTTTTTCTTCTTCTTCTGTAGAGCTCTATGTAGGCCCATTCGCAACATGAATCAGATCCAATTGATGAAATCGCGAATCCATACACCAATCCACGATGAATACATGTAACTATATTTTTTTTTTGCGGGTTATTCAAATAACAGCTGCTGTGTGGCTTAAGCGGCCACTCCTTGGGTATCCGTTTATCTAATTTCACTGTAGACAACTTACCCTAGGGGGATATTCAGGACGGTATATCCGAGTACCGAACCTAAGAGTGTATTTCAGGACGGACCACAAGATCGGACCTGGGAGATTATTTTAGGACTGGACTAGAGGAGCGGACAATTTAGTGAAATAGAGGATTTATTATGAGAGAAGCGATGACTCATACAAAATCATAGACAGGGGTATTTTTACAAAATACCCGATGGTAGAGGATGTCTCGATCCATATAGGAACGTAAATAAGATACAGCAGGCGTGTCATTCACAACGGGACTTCTGACTGAGTTCACTTATTCAGACTTAAACCGCTTTATCAAGCGTCACTCGGGTTTGACCACTTTTTTAAGTGACCGAACTACTGTATTTAGTACATTACGTTCTTTACAGGCTACATTAACTAAAATTCAGTTTGTTGTATAATCTTTTTTGTTACCACGATGAATGAACATACTACGTGGACAAGACAGCATTCGTTCGATTGTTGGAATGACTGATTGGAATTCATCGGCAATCGCCAGTGCTTGCTGCTGAGTTGGCGAATTAATTTTCCTCTAATTCGACACCGGATTAAAAAACTAAGGCAGAGGTCCATACTACTCTAGACTAGTATCTGGGACTCGACAATCGATTTCTAAGTTGGATAACTTCAAACAACATATTGAAGGGGGTTTCGAGCGGGACGACTTTTTAGGGATGTTGACACATATGCAAAAAAAACTCCTAGACAATCAATGCTTAAATCGGCTGAACTGAGTATTTTGGCTAAGTTCAAGTCAATATTCATTACAAGCACTAATCGAACCAGTTTGTAGTGCCTCTTTTATTAAGCCCTGACACTATCTCGTGTTTTTTTTCTCGTATGTATAGTGATAGCGGTACATTCTGGACGGTTGTTTTGTTTGATTTTGATTGATGAGCACGGAAGTTCTATACCAAGTCTTCGCAATATCATTGTGCTAGTAAAGCATACTTACAATAACAAACATCTGTTCGCGTGCACGTCGTGTATTGGCTAACACACTCAAGATTTTTGCTTCCTTAGCCCCGCCAGTCAATTGTTACTTGAAACGTCAATTGTTACTTGAAACGTCAATTGTTACTTTAAACGTCAATTATACTCGAAACTTCAATTGTTAAATACTTAAAAACAACAGATAACAACCACTTTTCACCCCTCTGCTATTTAATTTCCAGTCGTCTTTTAAAATATGATCTGCCGTTGGTATCAGTACAAAATGCATATATCAGCTCTAAATACTTCGCATGCCTTCACCTATGAAAGTGGCAAGCATCGGATCTTGTGTTGATACTCTATCCATGATGTCATAAAATGAATATATCGCGAGATATACATGGGTTCTCTAAACTTGGATTACGGCAGTAGAATTGATTATACTAGAACCCCACTCATAAAATGCGATTAACCTTGAAGCCCAGTAGTGAGACAGGAAAAACTCCTTGCATCCTGGAGTAGGGGAGCTACTTTTGACCCTAGAACACCTTGATAATTACACACACCATTTATTTTTACTGACAGAATTAATTCGCACGTTTGGGTACCGCTTGTGTCACCAAACTCGCATTCAGTATTAGATTTGGAAATCGATACCTGGGGATCTGCAACTGACCAGCAAACAGCCCAATCACAAACGCAACAACTATCACACCCCCGATTTCGACCTCTTTATGTGGTATCGTTCATTTTTCTCCTTGATTGGAAATAACTACGTGCCAACGTCAACCTGCAAAGTTATACCAATCAAAAAAATAGCCATTTTGAATTCGATAGTTGCGAGCACATCATGACAAGGTATCCATATGTTTTATTATTTTTGAATTGATATCCCTGAGACACCCCTTCATACTCTGATTGTCGTAGGAATATAGGATTGTTCAGACGTCATTCTAGGTGCGTGATTTAGTGAGCGATCGTATTCGCTACGCACCGTTGGCACGCCATATAATCTAGCCTGCATCAGTTTCCGCGTGTCTCTAATTGCGGTGCAATATGAGAGAATTAATCTTAGTGCAGTGATACGTAATCACCAGAAGACATGCCAATCTAAGGTGATATATTATAAAGGTGGTATATTCTATCAGTGCAGATCTTTTATCTAATGTGTGTAGAGCCGCGTCAACGTAACGATTATCAAGAAACGAACGGGCCTCCATTTGCCCCGCAAGCCATTTTTTTTTGGGTGATTATAGTCCCCTCTATGTTACACAGACGACTGCCACTAAACTGCAAATGTACGCCTCTTCATGACACTCAGGTCACTGCGAAAGTGTTTATCTCTGCGTTTCCACTATCAAACAAACTACGTTAGCGGCAAACAACAGTCGGCTTAAAGTATACTCAAGACACGACCAGAGATTGCCGATGGCACGGGCGTGGCGGGATGGTTGGAGAGCATAGCGATGGCATTGAAATTTGTAGTACACTATTTACTGCTGTAATGTGTCCTTAATATTCTTCATAAGCACTTCTGCGTGCTTCAGTTGTTCCTGATAGAAAGGAGTGGTTTGCAATGAGAGGCCTGTTGTTCAAAATAGGGTATCACCAATGCCTTGGAGATGGTGTAGGTCACAAACTATCATACGAAGCAACTCAAAAGTTTTCTGAATTGAAAAGCTGGTGTTTCTAGACAAAACGACAGGATGGTTTCATTGCTGGATGTATATAAAACCCTAAAACCCTAAAACCTCTTGTTTCTTTAGATGCAATAGTGGCTCATTGTCATTCAAACACGACACACCAAGTTGTTAATGTGAATGGTAAGACATCGTGCAATGTTGGTCATAGCAAAAGACAACGATACTTTAGAATGTCACCAATCTACCCCCTGATTTATCAATATGGGGTTTGACCACTATATATTTACTAGATGCAATGCTTGTGTGTACATAGATACATATGCATACACACATAAAACACACGCAACTAAGAATATACCTTTCTGAGAACATATAATCATATGGGCAACGTCATACTCCGTGTTTCAGGGCAGCGCAATCGACTTATTTCGCAAGGGACCGTGCAGTACCCACCTAAACTCGTACAGACTCATTCATACATACATACATATATATATATATATATATATATATATATATATATATATATATATATATATATATATATATATATATATATATATATATGTATATATATAGACATATATATAGATATATATATAGATATATATATATATATATATATATATATATCGATCTATCTATCTATATATAAATATATACACATAGATATATATATACTAAAGCACACACACACACACACACACACACATATATATATATATATATATATATATATGTATACACACACACACACACACACACATACACACATCTATATATATATATATACATACATACATACATACATACATATATATATATATATATATATATACATATAATATGTGATATATGTGTGCGTATTACGTACACACACACATATATATATATACACACACATATATATATACACACACACATATATATATACACACATATATATATACAT